CCCAACATGATTTTATTTTCTCCAAACACTTGATGAGTAATGTCAACATCTATTCCTAGCTTTTTTCTTCCCTAGACGTGTTCTTTGTGTTATTGAGAACTTACATTTCCGTAACTTATGAATCCTAGTTCTTTTCATGTCTTTAATCTCTGGCATAGCAAGTGGAATTGCTGAGCAAGCCATGGTTTCTGGACTCCCCTCCGAGAAGCCACAGAGGAAACAGAAGAACTATCCTGGAGTAAAGGAAGGAGCTCTTTCCACAAAGTTGCACATTATTATAAACCCCTCTTTTGTAAGTTTTCAACATTGTCTTTTGAAGGTTTCTCCATTTCTATTTGGGAATTCCTCTTCAATTTCATAGTGGAACTTGATAAGACAACGGATTTACTCAAAGATAATTTTCTGGGAACACATCAATTCTGAAAAGCAAAACTAAAAAATTCTAAAGTTGGATGTTTTTAGTCAGTAAAAATACTTAAAATTGTTACGGTAAGCTATACTAGTTATTTATTGAAAGGTAAGCACAAAACTGAACTGCCCAACATAGTGGCGTGTTTCTTTGTGGATTTCCTGGGTTTCCAAGGGCTCCTGAATTCTTAAAGGTAGAGAGTTAATGCCCAGTGCACACTGGGAAAATTTAAGATGAAAGGATAGCAAATGGATTGCAAAAATGTATACAATCAAAAACCATTAACTGATTTTGGTTGTTTTTCAAGCCTGGAGCTGCCCCAGAATTTCAGCTTGAGAAAATACAACCTGGGTTGTCTCAGCACTTAATCCCAGATGAAGTCCTTCAAAGTGGAAAATTTCACTGTGCTTTTTTTTTCCAGATGTAAATATATAGCAATAATGCAGTTATAAAACTGGCATTGTATTAAACCATAAATTATATTTGACACATAATAATGTTGAATTACTGTGGAAGTCCATCAATGTGCAGTGGCATTACCAACAAACAGGTCATTTCTGCTTGCACCAGCCCTGTGACTTGAAATGCAATGAATAAACTTGCTAGGATTTTGCTGTCAGGGTCAAAGTGGAATAAACTCTAGCTGAGAACAGATACATCAGAATCAGGCTAAGATGCAGGGGCCCCAGAACACATTGATTCATTCCTTTGCTTAGTCATTCAATAAATATTTACTGAAGACTTACTTTGTGCAGTGCTAGCCTCTGGTGGTAGATAGGAGAGACCTGGTGTCTGCCCTCACGCAGAAAACACAAGGATTTAAGAATTTTGGGCTGGGCACAGTGGCTCATGCCTGTAATCCCAGCACTTTGGGAGCCTGAGGTGGGTGGATCACGAGGTCAGGAGTTGGAGACCAGCCTGGCCAACATGGTGAAACCCTGTCTCTACTAAAAATACAAAAATGCAGGGCGTGGTGTCACATGCCTATAATCCCAGCTACTCAGGAGGCTGAGGCAGGAGAATTGCTTGAACCCAGGAGGTGGAGGTTGCAGTGAGCTGAGATGCACCATTGCATTCCAGCTCTGGGTGACGGAGCAAGACTCCATCTCGGAAAGAAAAAAAAGATAATTTCATGTACAAATTGTTTTTTAATTACAGTGAATTCACGTACTGATTTTTTTTTTTTTTTTTTTTTTTTTTTTTTTAATTTTTTTTTTTTTTTTTTTTTTTTTTTTTTTTTTTGAGACAGAGTTTCGCTCTTGTTACCCAGGCTGGAGTGCAATGGCGCGATCTCGGCTCACCGCAACCTCCGCCTCCTGGGTTCAGGCAATTCTCCTGTCTCAACCTCCTGAGTAGCTGGGATTACAGGCACGCGCCACCATGCCCAGCTAATTTTTTGTAGTTTTTTAGTAGAGACGGGGTTTCACCGTGTTGACCAGGATGGTCTCGATCTCTTGACCTCGTGATCCACCCGCCTCGGCCTCCCAAAGTGCTGGGATTACAGGCTTGAGCCACCGCGCCCGGCCTACGTACTGATTTCTTGAAGGTTTGGTCTCTTCTCACTGTTTATCAAGGTCAATGGAAAAGTCAGATTTCAAAGGCTAGCCTATATGAAGTGGAGAAATTAATTAACCAGAGAGGATTGACCTAGATTTCAAGCCCTGGAACCTTGTCTATGGAGGCTTACATAGAGCCAGGTTAAAGAATCTGAATTGGTCAATAGGTTCAAAGGGTCAAGATGAGACTAGTTAAGAGATGCTTCTGGACCAAGGACTTTAAACTAATTTATAACAGTAGAGGAGTCCATATGTCAACCTTTTGCTTTCTTTAAAGTTGCTGATACCCTATAGTCAATGCCAATGCCTTGCTTGGGGTAAGCACTCAATAAGTAATAAATAGCTTTGGAAAGGATGAATGAACTGAAAGCACAATAACATGAGTTTGGAGTATGACCATTATTACCATCAGAGTCACCGTGGGGGCTTCATCTACATGGTGAGATTATCCAGACAAGTCATCCAGAGCCCTGTTTACGTAAGCCTCTCACAGGGCCTCCTGGAGGAAGGGGTACAGAAATTTCAGAGCCAACATCTAGATTTCCTAAATTAATACCAGTTTGAAAAAGAGAACCAAAGGTCCCCAAACTCCCAGGGATGAGTTAAGTGAAGGGATGCACATTCATGCTGGGGTTGAAGAAGAGTGGAAGGAGTCTCAGTGGAGAGGCAGAGGGTGAATTTTTAAAGTTTTTCCTTCCTAGGAAACACAATCTATGTTTCTCCTAGAATGAAAACTGTGACATAGAAGGACCTAGGCTGCCTTTTGGAAGAGAAAATAAATATTAGTAATCTGAGAGGAAACTCTTCTCCTTGGCCATCTCTTTAAAAGTGGAGCATTGCTCCTGTGTTGGTTTGCTAAGGATAATGTTCTCACTTATAAGTGGGAGCTAAATGATGAGAACATATGGACACATTGAGGGGAACAACACACACTGGGGCCTATTGGAGGATGGAGGGCAGGAAGGAGAGGATCAGAAAAAAACAACTAATGGGTACCAGCCTTAGTACCTGGGTGTTGAAATAATCTGTTCAACACACCACCATGACACAAATTTACTTATATAACAAACCTGCACATGTACCTCTGAACTTAAAAGTTTAAAAAATAGAAAAAAACACTTAGCTAGAACATACTACAGAGCGATTTCACCATTCTGTGTATTGCGTTTTCACAATCTCCCATCTCATTTCGTTCCATGAGTTTGGAAATCTTGTCCCCCTCCTTACATTTCAAACAGTTGCTTGTCATGCCAGCTTATTTTACAAAGAAGAAAATTAAAGCCAACCATCCATAAGAACATAGTTCCATGAAACAAAGAAAATGCTATTATTTGTTTTTTTAAAAGGCAGAAAACTGAAGTAGTAACTAAGGAACATTAGTCTTAAAGTCCTTGAGAGAAGTACTGCAGAGGCACAGGTGGACTTGAAGGCTTTGGTGGAAACTCTGCACATCAGCTCTGTACAAAGTGCTGGGGAAACAGAACTGGATGAGGCACAGTGGTCCTTGCCCTCTGCTGTGGCCCTGATATTGAGGGAGGAGAGCTCCCTTGACCTCTTCATGGGACTTGTGACACTGAGGTGACTCGCTGACTCAGCTACTGCTGCTGCCACGCTCAAACTTTTTGCAGAAAGGAGAGCATGCAGGTGAGCAGGTACTGTGGCCAGGGTGAGTGCTTTTGGGCTCCAGCCCCACAGCAGCATCTAGGGGTATGTTACAATTCATGTTCTTTTAGCAGTTACTGTCTGTGCACAGCTAAGTGTTAACCAGCTTAGTGGAGAGTCAGGGTTACCTTTTACACCCGGCCCTCTTCTTGTTTTGCATCCAGGAAGAATCAGGTCACACAAATATTTGAAAGGTGGTGAATGCAAGGGATTTTATTAAGCAGTAGAAATGGCTCTCAGCAGAAGGGGAGGTGGAAGGGGGATGGTGTGGGAAGAAGGTGATCTTTGCCTGAAGCCTGGTCTTCTCCTCCCTGAAGTCATGCTGTTTGTAAGCTGTGTCTACCTGTAGTCTCTGATGCTCAGTTGCTCCTTCTCCTCTAGACCTTCAGCCACATGTCTCTTTGCTAACTGAGGTCTGGGGTTTATGTGGGCACAGGATAGAGGGTTGGAGTGGCTAAAAAAGGCAACATTTGGGTAGGAAAACAGGGATAACTGTTCTCATTTAGGGCTGTGATTTCCAGGCTTGAGGTTTGGGCTTTTGCCAGGGAGCCACCTTATTCTACCCAGTTTTTCCCCTATCTCCTGTCTGTGTCAGTATCATCAGGCTGTGCTCAGAGTATTATAGAATAAGTGGTCCCTCGTTCAATATGGTGAGTGGGCAGCAGGAGGAACATTTATGGAAAGCTTCCAAAAGAGGTGATGGACAGGAATGAAATAATAGGCAGGTACTATCTGAAGAGGAGACACTTGAAGAAGGAAGTTTAGATTTTTTAAAAAAAGAAAAGGATGCTCATAGCAGCATCATTCACAGTAGCTGAACTGTAGAAGCTAGCTAAGTGTCCACTGATGGATGAATGGAGAAGCAAAATGTTATTTATCCCTGCAATGGAATGTATTGCAGCTTTAAAAAGGAAGCAAGTTCTGACATGTGTTACAACATGGATGAACCTCTAGGACATTATGCTAAGGGACATAAGCCAGATACTAAAGAAACATGTACTGTATGATTCCACCTACACAGGGCTATTTAGAATAGTCAAATTCTTAGAGACAGAGAGTAGAATGAAGATTGACAGAAGCTGGGGGGAGTGGGGAATGGGAGGCTACTTCTTAGTTGATAAAGAATTTCAGTTTTACAAGATGAAGAGGTCAGAGTTCCGGAGATTGGTTACCCAACGATGTGAATGCATTTAATACCACTGAACTGCATGCTTACAAATGGTTAGGATGGTACAGTTTATGTTATGTGTATTTTAACACAACGAAAATTTGGAAAAAAATATGAAAAAGGAGGAATGAGTGAGAATCAGTATGGCTTGTGGGTGGGATGGTAAGCGCTGGTGTTGTCGAGAATAAAATGGGAAGTAGAAAGAGAGAGAGGTGAGCCTGAGGAGGGAACACAGACCAGGTGTATTCAGTCTGGAGATGTTCTTTTGGGCCATGAGCTGTTCTAGGAAATGGAGATACCGTGGAGCTTAGAACCCAAAGAGGCTTGACCCCGGCGTTTAGGTCTTTGGGTCTTCTTGTTGAGGCAAGAAGGAGCCATTGACGGTTTAAGCAGGAAAAGCAGCAAGATCCGATTTGCATTTTAGGATTCTTCCTCTGGCTGCTGAATGCAAATGAGTTGGAGGGGGCGACATGGAGGAGGGAGGCAGAGTCACTGGTAACCGAAAAGCAGGCCTTGAACAGAGAGGAAGATCTCCACACAGCCCTGGTTTCCCAAGGTGAGCTGGATCTGGAATGCAGGGAGGTTGGGGCGACCGTGGGTGGAGGGCTGAAGTCCCATCCTTTGGTTCTGTAGGAGCAATAATCGGGTGTGCTGTGGAAAAGGGAAAACATTTATCTGCCCCATCTCCTTGGTAGTGCTTTCTTGCAGCGAAAATTGTGAAGTTGGTAAGTGGGAGGTGTGATTGATTTCATCTGGTACTCCCCAAGCCGAGGGTGGTCAAGGCAGCTCTGCAGACCACAAGCTGGCTACGGGAGATGAGAACACCAACCCCAATTTGGAAGGCAGGCCATTCCTAATTGAACTGTTGAGGGAATTTTGATAAATGACCCCGCCAAAGCAGCGAAATGAATAAATCATGCTTGAGGCTGAAAGACTGTTTCCTGAGGGACAGCAGCGGTGCTCCAATCCTGGTGGTTTGCAAGGGGTTGCAGCAGAAGGCAGAAAACTCACAGTGTTTCTGGGCTCTTAGGAGGGCTGGAGGAGCCATAACCCCAGTTAGTGTGGCCACCATGCAGTTCTTTTCAAAAGCAGAACAAAGTTGTATTCCATGCTTGAGGATGAAGCACCGAGCTGCTTCCTAAAACCGAAGGTTAAAGACATCTTTTTCAGACTTAGCAATGGGTGAATGGGTTCTGATAGAGAAGGTGGCAGCCTGCATCATTGCTCAAATCATACTCCGAAGGGGAAATGAGGGGCAGGGCACTTTGCTGTCTGCAATGATGTCTTTTTCTTTTAAGGGTTAGCACCACGAAGATCATTGTCTTTTCAAATATCCTCCCTCCAGGTTCCTGGGCTCTGAGTTGGTGCACTCTGTCCCACTGAGTCAAAGCCATTTGCAGTGAAAAATTCAGGTTCAGCCTGGCACATGGCCTTTCATAGCACTCAGGGACCATTTCCAGCCTCATAATCTTAGTATCTCTCTTTGTGCAGAGAATAAGACAAAGTCTCTGAGAAACTGAAGTGGAATGTAATCCTCATGAGGTTGGCATCATCACCTCCCCCCCCTTTAACAAATAAGGAAACTGAGGCCAAGAGAGGTTAGTTAACTTGCCCCATGTGGATTTGAAATGTTGAACAGGGTAGCTTTCGGCACTTTCCAATTGACGTAGGGCTTGGAAGGCCAGGAGTCTTCTGCATACTTCTTGCCAGTCACTCTGGAGAGAAAACTGTCTCTTTCGCAAGCAAGTAGCAATATCCTTGCCCATCATTTTTTGGTAAAACCATCAAGATCCCACAGCAGACCAGACTTTGTGACTTATGCCTGTAATCCTAGCACTTTAGAAGGCTTGAGGTCAGGAGTTTGAGTCCAGCCTGGCCAACGTGGTGAAACCCCATCTCTACAAAAAAGACAAAAATTAGCCAGGCATGGTGACGGTTGCCTGTAATCCCAGCTACTTGGGAGGCTGAGGCATGAGAATCACTTGAACCTGGGTGGCAGAGGTTTCAGTGAGCTGAGATTGGGCCAATGCACTCCAGCCTGGGTGATAGAGTGAGACTGAGACTCTGTCTCAGGAAAAAAAAAAATCCCAGAGCAAAGCAAATTCTGAAAGGAGTTATGGGCTTAAAAAAATAAGCATGATATTTACTTATAAAAACTTCTTGATGACTCTGGTTTGAGGGCAGGAAGCACCTAGGAGTTGGATTAACTGCCCTTCCCTGAAGAAAAGAATTTCTGTTTATGCCAAGACGCAAGGGGGGTGGAGAGAGGAAGTTGGTGGGCGGACACAATGAGGTACTGGAGGGTCTGCTTTTTATCACAAACAGAAATGGTGCTTAACAGACCTTCCTTGTGTGTCTCCCAAGTCTTCCATAACTTACAACAGTAACTAGCATGGGCTGCTGCTAGCGTGCTGGCATCTTGTGTTAGCCATGAGAGAGGCTGACGTTTGTGCAGGATGGGGGCAGAGTACATTAGTTTGCAATTCTTCAAGGTCATGCATGAGAGAAACAGAGAAAAGCACCAAGAAATGAGCTCCGGGACTCTCAGAAACCCAGGGGAGAGAACTTTGGGTCATAATAGGTTATGATGTTGGAAATCCATTCAAATGTAAAAAAATCCCCGAGGGATTGTTGAAGAGAGACTCCAACTGAGGCTGGAATGTTGGAGTTATAGAAATTATTAAGTTTGTTATTATTTTAAAGTGTGGTAGGGAGGTGTCATGGTTAATTTTTTTGTGTCAACTTGATGTGGCTAAGGAATACCTAGATATCTGGCAAAACATTATTTCTTGGCATGTCTGTGAGGTATTTCCAGAAGAGATCAGCATTTGAATCAGTAGACTGAGGACAGAAGCTCTTCTTCACCAATGTGACTGAGCATCATTCAATGTGTGGAGGGTCCCAATAGAACGAAAAAGGGAGGAAGGGTGAATTTGCTCTTTTTGTGAGCTAGGACATCCATCTTCTTCTGCCCTTGGATATTGGCCCTCCAGATTCAGATTGAATTTTACCATCAGTCTGCCTGGTTCTCTGGCTAGCAGACAGCATATGTTGGGACTTTTCAACCTCCATAACTGCGTAAGCCAATTTCCCCATAATCAACCCCCTCTCCCATATATCCCATTGGTTCCGTTTTTCCGCAGAACTATGACTAAAACAAGTGACAAATTATGTATAATGAAGGTTCTAATAGAAAGAATAAATAAGGCCTACTACTTGATAGCACAACAGGGTGATGATAGTCACTGATAACTTAATTGCACATTTAAAAATGACTCTAAAAGTGTAATTGGATTGTCACACAAAGAATCAATGTTTGAGGGGGTGGATGTGAATGCCCCATTCTCCATAATGTGCTTACTTCACATTGCATGCTTGTATCAAAACATCTAATGTATCCCAAAAATGTATACACCTACTACGTACCCATAAAAATTAAAAGTTAAAAAATTAAAGCAGCAATGAGGGGTCCGACTCCATCTGGGTGTAAAGGTCAGAAGAGGTTTTCTGATGAATGTACTGTTAGCTAAAATGAAGTGTATGAGTAAGAATTAGGTAAGTGGTGAACAGGGCTGGGAAGAGGTAATATGAGCAAAAGAATTCCTGATGTAGCATGTAGAGGAGAAATGGCTGTTCTAGGAACTTTGAACACAAACACAGAAACATATAGCTTGCCTTTCAGCCCATGTTCACCTCCTCCCATTTTACAAATCAGGTTATATGTAAGGACAGATACACTGGTGCTCAAGATAGGGGAGGATGTTTGCTATCAATTAGCTATTCCAAGCTTAAGGGTATCAAGAGGTAGATAATTTAGTGTGACTGTGAAGGCTAAAACCTGTGTGTTTGTGTTTGTGTGTCTATTAAGCCTATGAATTTATATTCATGAATTACACTTTCAGAATTCTCTGTAGCCTTGGAAAAGAATAAGTATGGTACCTGAACAGTATATTCTCATATTTAAGATCTAGTGCCTAGTTTGGTTCCTCATTTCTTTTGCTTGGGTAGGAATATTTAATTCTCAAAGGGACTCTGGAATGAAGTAATAATTTGTTGGTTATATCCACGAAACAGCTCCCAAAGCATTCTCTTGGAAGATGTTCCTGACAGTCTAGTGGGGTAAGTAATTCATTAATGCACATCTTCACTTACTTACTCGTTTGAGTGCTTACTACATGCCAAGCATAGTTTTAAGTTCTATTAGGGTACATATAATACAAAGGTCCGTGTCCTTGTGGAACTAAAATTCTAGGTGGGACAGACAACGAAAACAAACAAGCAAGTAAATGAGGTAACTCCCAACAGGTAAAAACATTGATGGTATGAGGGGATTGCTGGCCAATGGAAAAGCAGGTGACTGATGGGAGGAGTAAGGGCTTCTCTGAGGAGGTGAAATTTGAGCTGATACTTGAAAGATGAGAAAGACCCAGCCATGGGAGGCTAGAAGGACCTGGATTGATCCAGTAATCCTGTTCCAGGCAGAGACAACATAGATGGGAACTCTCAGAGAGGTTAAGTGACTCACCCAAGGTCACACAGTGGTGTGAAGGATGTGCCCAGAGATTCTACAGTGAGCCTTTGACCCGAAGTCGGGGACTGTTTCCATGTCTTATCTTCCCAGTGCTTGTTTCCCAATGCTGTCTGGTCAAATCCTGATATTGTAGGATTATAGGGTACTATCACATGTATTCTGTCTTTTATTATCAAAACTTCAGTGGTTGTTACTTCATGTAGAGCAATGAATAGATCACATAGAGCTTCTCGAATGATAAAGTTATGGGAACTCATGGAGATAAGGTGTCAAGAAGATAGCAATTCTCTTCAGAAGGTGTTACAGATTCCCAAGACCTTCGAGAGTTTTCTCCAGGGAACTCTATCAGCATGAAAATCCCCCTTTTTCATTCTCAGAAAGTTTACTTTTATTCTTCTTCTTCCCCCACTCCATAAAAGTTTTTGGACATTCTGGATACCTTTCTGTTGTAAATATCTAATGCAACAAGTTCCCTGTGTGGGACATTCTGGAGTGTTTGCTGGGAGATCAGGGGATGCAAAGGCAATTTTTCTCATAGCACCTTTCACCACCGCTCAGTAAGTGTTCTGCAAAGGGCTAAATCTAAAATATTTCCAGCTTCGCATGCCATTTGGTCTTTGTAGCAAGTACTCAACCTTGACATTGTAGTGGGAAAGCAGCCATAACAATTTGTAAGTGGATGGGCGTGGCTGTGTTCCAATAAAATTTTATTTACAAAACAGGTGGCAAGCTGGCTTTGGCCTTTGGGCAATAGCTTATTGACCTCTGCCCTTAGTAATAATCACAGCAACCCTATGGGACAGGCATGGATGAGGACACTGAGTAGTTAGGAGCCTGAAACATGCACAAAAGATTTGATCATCTATGATAATTCTAGGAAGATTGTCGAATTAGGAATCAGGAGACCAGCTTCCAGAGTCTTCTCTGCCATTAATTTATTTCACGGCCTTCACCTCTTTGGTTCAATCTGATCCGATGGCGCCTAGGGGAGCTGTATTAGCTGAATTCTAGTGACTGCAGTTAAC